TTTTTTTTTTTTTTTTTGTATTTCTTTGTTTTATAACCGCTGCAAGGAAATAGGCGAGACTGACTCCGTAATTTATGTTGCCAGTAGACTTGTTGTCTCTTCACTTTAACGCTTTTCACATTTCCAATGAAACAACTTTCAAACGAACAACTAAAACGAGGGAGAGCTCAACATGAATGAGAATTTATTTTTGGAGAAAATCTTGATGACAGATTAAGAATTATGTAAGAACACACGATCGATCAAAAATTTACGATTCAAACACAACAACTCGTCGGAATTATCCGTAAACAACTACATTTATTTTATTTTTTGTCTCTCTCGCATTTTGTCTTTTTATTTAAAACAGAAAAAATTTTCATCTCTCATTGCAATTTATTTCTGAATATAATCTTTCGCCGAGACGATTCGTTGATATTCTTATTTTTTTTTTTTATTACGAACATATAATTTTTCGAAGCAAAAGAACGTTGGAAGAGACGACGAAGGCTGACTTAGGAAACCATAAAATCCGAACGACACTCGTTCCGTTTGTGGGAGTATCCCGGAAACATTTGTCGTTCTATTCCACGCAAATGTGTGTGCCACGTGGAATCGCGAACTAGAAACAGGTGTACTCACGATTCCGATCACTCTTACCTCCGGAAGGGGGGGGGTCTCTTCGCCCTTTTTCGATCTGTCCGGATCGCGGGAGAAATCGAAAGCCAAAGGGAAAGACGGGAACAATCCGGAAGTAATAACGACTCACAAGACAATATGACAACACTCATTAGTGAACATGATGTGGTCGATGATGAAGGGAAGGTGGTTTTAAGTGACGTATATATGTTGGGATATATCAAAGCTTTCGAGAGATATATCATGTGAGGGAGTCAAGTGAAGGGAACAATGATTCTGAGGATATCAAGATGATTCACGGGAAAGAGGTTGAGAGGATTCAGGATGCGTCCATACGACATCTTACCTCCAGAAGTTCCTGATTCTGCGTTTGGGTCTGAGCCTGCTGGGTATTGTCCGGCGGCATGGTCGTGGTCGTCGTGCCGGTCGACGTTGTGGTCGATGACGGGTTCGATGAGGAAGAGATCGGCGCCGTCGGCTGCGTGGACGGCGCCAAACCCGCCGACGGCAGAGTGAGAGTGGGATAGGGCGGCGGCGGTGGCGGTAACACAGGCGGCACTACCTGCACCTGCGGTGGCGTCACGACGACGCCGGAGACCGCCGACGGCGGCGTCGCCGTGATCGTGGTCGTCGTCGTCGTCGTCATCGTCGTCATCGCCGCCGGCGTGCAGAGCGCCGTCGTCGAAGCGGCGGACATAGCGAGGGACGAGATCGACGGCGGCTTCTTCGAAGGCACGGCGTCGTCGACATCCGTCTGCTGCATCATGTCCCGGTTGCGCCAGCTCTCGGCGATGCTCTCACGATTCTTCCAGATGGTGGCGACCGTGCTGCTCGCCAGACCCAGTTCGCGAGCCACGTCGCTCTTGCTCTTGCCGCGCTCGATCTCTTGGATGATCTTCATTTTCTGCTTGATCGTGAACGCGAGCCGCTTTCGACCCTGCGTTGGTTGGTGGTGGGTTTCAGGGATGCCCAATATATAATCGATCGCGTTAATCGGAAATAAGACGGTCGTTTTTTTAACGACCACACGTGCGAGCCGATATCGTTCACGGGATTGTGAATCGGGGGCGATACGCGGGGGTCATTTTCTACACGCGAATTACGAGATTAAATTGTAATTTTTTTTTTACGAGAGAAAATATATAATGTGTATATAAGAGAAAATATAAATTTATGCGAGTAAATTAAATATTAAATTATAAAACAATATTTTATTGACAGATTAATTCTTATTTTTTGTTTTTGCTTTGACACATTTTGTTATTTTTTTTCTTTTGTATTTTAAAATATCCTTAATAATCTCGATGTGTTTTATATGAACTCCGCGTACCGCCTTTAAAAAATGATTAAACTAGGTTTTATCAATTCCGACGAAGCCAATTTCAGATACTATAAGCATATAAAAGCGGTTACCACTTGAACAAAAAGAGAACACGAGAACCTACTCATTTGTAAACACATTAAACACAATATGAAATAAATTTTTTGCAACTATTTTCTCGTAATGTTTAACATAACGTAACAAACACAATGGCACACATAACATAATGAGGCTTCCAAAATGACATTGATACTTGACTAAATTACGCAATTCTCGATTAGTTCTAAAACGCAACAATTATATGTGCATTAGTAAGACACATCTGTTTTTTTTTTTTTTTTTTTTCAAGTTTTCTCTACGTTTTCTCAGCAAGAAACATCGATTAGGATCGGTTATATACGATCTTGGGCATCCCTATTTCGCGTTTTTGTTTTCCACTACATACGTGAGTCGACGTGTAGCTACTAGTTTACTACACTATTTGTGTCGTCTGAAGTCTCTCTCTCTTTCTCCTTCTATTCCTTCAAATTGCACGGGGGTTGTGTGTGTTATGTTCGGAGGGCTAGTGATGTACAGTGCGTGTGGATGTGGAATGCGTGTGTGAATGCAAGGGGAAACAGATGAACGAACGAGTGACAGTGATTGAGAGGTATAGGGTGGTAATCTGGCTTGCGCGGGGGGGATTTCGATGGGGTAGTATAGTTTGGAGGACTATCACAATGAATGGACTTTTGAAATTTCTACAATCGCGCATCTCTACTCGTTTGTCGAAATTTTCCCTTGTGAAAGAAAGATTTCGAAAAACCATCGTTTTTGCGCGTACCGCAAATAAAAAAAAAAGAAAAGGATTTTTTAGATAGTTTATTTATTATCGTCGAGAATGAGAAATATTTTTCTCGAGCGAGATATCATTTCTCTCGAACTCTTGCGTTTTCTCGTTAAACTTTGACTTTTGAAGTAAAGTTTGCACAGTTTAAGTTTCAGTGCGAATTTCGATCCACAAAGTAAAATCCGGTTATCTTATGTAACGCAGTTAAAAAAAAAAAAAAAAAAGACGAGAATATCACAACCAAAATCCAAATTTTAGTCAAACATGAGATGCTCACTGGGACACAATTTTATATTGCACTATGAATTATATCTGAATATTGAATACTCTTCCCGTATAACAAAAAACCGTTTCTCATGTTTTAATAAAATGCAAAAATTTGTGCATATATATATATATATATATATAGATAGACATTATTATTTAATGGAATATAAAACTGTGCGATAAATAATAATAATAGACACAGACGCAAAATGTATCAACGGTTTAACGTACATAAAAGCATCAATAGTATCGATTGAGAATACACGGAATTGTTTCAAAACATATCTCGGTGTATGCAATATCGGATATCGCACAAAGAATTTTGAAATGCAAACCAATACTGACATCCATATTAATTCATTCGCGATTCTCACATTCCCCCATCCCATTTAAAAAATAACTGAAAATTCTTCTCGTGTATTTTTCAGCGTACGTCGAAAGGAAACAATCGACCGATAAAAGAAATGAAAAGAAAAAAAAAAAACTTCCATCTTTCTAATTAAACAATATGACAATAAATGCCGAAATCAGAATCCAGTTCTAGTTTTTTTCTTTTACTCTCTTTTTATCGCAGATTATATATAATTACAAAAAGAAAGATACAAAGTTTTGTCTCTCGATTACGAGCAGTTCCAAACAGTTTTTAACGAACGGTTAAAAATAGACTCGGAGGAGCTCTAACGATAAAATTTGGTGAAATTAAAAAGAGGGATAAAAAAAAAAAAAAAAAAAAAATCAGATCTAAGGAGCAGAGTGGAAGGACATGCTGGGTTCTCCTGTCACTATCGCTAGCGGTTGTTGGTTGGCTATTGGTGTTTCGTGTGTCCTGGGACATTGGAAATTGTAACAGGGTCGTTGGACGTATATATATAGTATATATATAAGAGAGTTTTTCTATACAAGAATATTCATTAAAAAAAGATATAATATGTATATATAGACAGATGTATATATATATATACGAAGATATATAATATATATGTATATATGTATAAATACACGGCACACACAGAGAGCATGCGACACGCACGACAGGTGGACAAAATACAAAAAAACGTAAGTATCCCAAATAGAATAAGAGAACAGTTTTTTGTGTGAATGAAACAACGAGATCGAGACAAACGTGAAGGAAATTCGGTGGTAAGACGTCGGACTTACCTCGAGCAGCTGTTGATTTCTGATCTCCCGCTCCCGTCTCACGGCTTCCTGCCGCTCCGTTTTCTCCTGCTCCTTAATCAGCCTACAACGAGGATATCATTAACTTCGCATCATTACCGCGCTATAAAAAAAGACGCTCGGAACAAATCGTTAATCAAGGGTTGTCCGCGACTGTCTGTCCATAAATTTCGCGATCGCTCGCGCGAACCGGGCTCGAAATCTAAATTAATACAGTGACTCACGCGCGACGCTCGCTTTCGAGGAGGTTTTGCATCGCGATAACGTTTTACGATTTTGACAATCTTGTTATTAATCTACGAAAAGATAAAAATGCGCGTTTTATAAATTAAATACCGCGTTGCAATCGTGAGAGACTCCAGAGGATTAAGCGATCAAGCCTAACGTTTGTAACAAGCAAATAAATAACTGTTTTCTGCCCGTAACGGCGAGATTAGCACTTCAATAAACTTTGTGATTTATTTGACTATTATCGACAATCATTAACTTCTTGTAGCGTTACGAGATGCTCAGTACCGGATAATAACTTCTACACATCGTGCAGTATTTCTTTACAACTTATTTTTAACACGTTATCCACTCAACTCGTTATCTCTTCAAACTTTTTTACATTACGCTTTCGAATAAATAATAAATCACAGCCTTTTTAAAATAATTGATTTCTTTACCTAGCTTGTTCTTTGTGCCGTTGCGCTTCCTCCTTTGCGAGCTTCTTCGCGAAGGCCAACTTGTCTCTCTCGTACTGATTGTTCGTCCGTGTGTCTCTGAAACCGCCGGCCGCTCTCAGCTCTTCCAGTCTTCTTGCCACTTCTTGAGCGCCAAGTCTAACGAATTCAGCGTCCGCCAGACCCATTGTTGGCTGAAGAAATTCACCGACCAACGGCCGGGATGAAAACGAGAAATTGGCGGTCGTTAATTCGCCGGGATTCTGATGCTCCAAAAACTAAAAAAATACAATAAGCGAATATCTATTTTCAAGAAAAGAACTTTCGTCTAAAATCTGAAAAAAAAATCTATATTATACAAGTTTTACTTCTTATGTTTTTATATGTAATTATTTTTCTTCATTGTTCTTATTGCGAGTACACATCAATAAAAAAAAAAGCAGCGTGACGAACACTTTTAACAAAGTACGTCATCAAATTTTCGGCCCTACACGTTCCGTAATCTTCGTAAATCACTTTTGATTGAACGCACGTCCAATTTGTCTGTGTTAAGTAACTAACCTTCACTAGATCGGGACTACTCCTAAAGGTTTTCCCGCAGGGGCTGTAATACGACACGTCGCCTTTTATCACTCCGGTCTTTCCTAATCCCTTGATAACCGTTTCGCGCTTCCATCCGCGCTCCAACGGCATTTGGAGGTCCCTCTCGCTGGGCCTGAGACCGGACGAGAGTTTTCGCCTCTTCGCGCTAGGTGTGCCCTCCGCGTTGTCGTCGTCGGTGTCCGTGACAACGTCGGTGTTGCTGCCGCTCTCGCTGGTCACGTCCATGTTACTCTCCTCTCCCGAGGCCTCCAATAATTTGTTCTTCATTTTCTCCTGCAAAGATCTCTATATAGGGAGAATGGTTTTAGTGCGAAATCATAAGTAAAAAAAAGAAAAACGAACATGATTCCTCGCCCACGAAGCACGAATTGGTCGAGATTGCTTCTTCTTCTGTATCCTCTTTAGCAAATGATAGTACTTTAACACAAAAGATAGTCGTAAAAAAATATGAAAATTAGATGGTTACAGAAGTCAGAATTAAAAGAAACAATGTTCGAGGAGGTGCAAATTTTATGTTTGAAATTAATACACATGATGATAAGAATGTCTTCTCTCTCTTTCTCTTATCAGACCATTTGGTTCTTTGTGATCTGTTTAGTTACCTGATTCTTATCGTCATTCTGGCCGGTGGCGGAAGCGTGCAACTGAGCAGCCAGTATGTTCGACCTCAGCAACGACATTTGGTGAGACAATGGCACATTCGGATCCAAACCCGGGGTGGGTTTAATCCCTAGAGCTCTGCTTTGAGCCAACAACGACGCAACCGTGTTCTTTTTCGGCTTTGACACACCGCGACCGAGATTTCGCGGTCTCCCATCCTTGTGATGAGTGGCGGTGCTCGCGCTCTCGCTTTCCTCGCTACCGCTACTCGGCCGTTGCGGCGAGTCCGCGGCAGCGAAGAGTTGCGCCAAAGAAGGACTAGGTGACGCCGGTACTGGCACAGAGTTCTGCGGAACTCGTCTCGGCTTAGGTCCGGGCTTTCGTCTCGCTACATAAAAAATCGATTCGTCAAGATTGCGCGACGGAGAACATTGGAAAATTAATAAATTTTACGTTTCGTAAGTTAATTACTCGCGTTCAAAAAATATATATTATATATAATTTACGTGAAATTATACACTTGGATATTTTAGACAATTTTTTTTTTAACAATACGAAGATCTAAATAGCGAACAATTGTACGTTTTACGAAAATATCGTTGCAACTCTCTTTATCTGGCAAACAATTTTTTTATTGAGCAAAAAAACACGCGATGCCTTTAAAACACAATGGCCGCAATGGTTTTAAAACGGTAACGACCGGAAACAAGACCGCAGTAGATAGATAACGGCCGCGCGATATTTGTTATACTTACACGTTCGATCGGAGGCGAGCAACGACTGGCTTAAATTACTGAGCTGACTGAGAGGCTGACTACCAGAAATCGGCGAACTACTGCTCGTCGTGGCGGGCTTCAGCGACAGATTTAAGGGCGCGTCCGAATCGTTGACGTTGCTGTTGGCGTTGCTGCTGCTGTTGCTGCCGCTGCTGCCGCCGCCGCCGCCGCTGCTGCTTGTGTACAACACCGGAGGCGCCGGCAGAACCGAACCGTTGGTCGAGTGGGCCGGCAACTTGATGACTTCCACACGATCCGTCGATTCTCTGTACTCGTTCGAATCAACCGTGCGATTGTACTTCCTCGGTTCTATCATTAGCGACGAAGACGACGACGTTGTGTTCGTCTGATGCGTGCTGAGAGCGGGGATTGGCGGCGGATGCACGCTGACGCTGGGAGTGTCCAAGGATATTGTCTTCTTCCTGCCACGGTTCGTCGTACCAGGAACCTTCGGACCGACTATACTCGAAGTGTACTTGATAATCTCCGTGTCGGGAGGAAGACGCACTCCTCCTAATATACTGCTAGGATCACTAGGAGACAAGACATCAAATGCGATCAATCGCGCGGCAATTGAGAGAAAACGTTAAAGTAATAATCAAAGTAAAATGTAAGTAGCGTTTGCAAGAGATTGATTATATCAAGATCTAATGTCCCTGGAATACAGAGTCTGGCCATCTCCCTTAAAATGGCGTCTAAAGGTAGTGGGAATGCCAATGTAGTGGGGATGTAGTAAGATCCAAGTAAGACGTAACACAAAAATTTGCTAGAAAAGTGAAGTTTTATTATCGAGACGTAATATTAAGACGTAAAGAGAAAGTAAGTAATAAACAAGAGTTAATTAATATACAATATATAAAACTGGAAGTATAAAATTTGTCAGGAGATTAAAATATATTCATTATTTTTTTCTTAACCTGAAAATAATGTCAATTGTAATCATAAATTTTAATTACAGAATAAACTATGCCTCATTGTTGTGTGCCTCAATGTTCAAATTCATGGAGAAAGAATATGCAATGCATTGTCTGCCAAGAAATGTAGAAAAAAGACAAAAATGGATCGAAAATATTGGAATAGATTTGGATCTAACAAAAGTTCATTTTATATGTGAGATAAAGCTTTGTAAATTATATTAATAAACTATTACATATATTATATATATATTAGTTGTATAAATATTGTTTTAAATATTGTAATTAATAATATTAATATACAACAGACACATTTTGCGGTTGAAAACTTCGTTTTCCAATTATTTTACTTTTATCATTCTTTAAATGTATGTGCGCTCCCGTTTGCACTTTGATTGGTGCCGCCATTTTAAGGGTATGAAAAGATGTTACCGAGATGGCCAGACTCTGTATTCCAGAGACACTATCAAGATCCAGCTTTTGAAAAGCTAAAGGTTCTAAATAATTGCAAGCCGTGTCACATGTGTGAGCTAATATGTGCGTATATTCACCTTCCTTCCTTCGCAGAACTATTGCGATACGGGGGACGAAACGATAGCGTGAAAATAGAAAAATTTTGCGGAGGGTTAAGAACAAAACCGTTGCGCAAGTCCTAGATAGTTTAAGCGTCGCGCGTTATTTATTGCGAAACAAGTGAGTTTCTTTCTCTTTCTCTCTTTCTTACCTGACGACGTTTGTTTGCGAATTTGGCGTGGTGCTGACCGGCGTGGTGCTGTGATGAGAGGACGTAACCGGCGGTTGAGTGGTCACCGGCAAGCTGCTGCTCGTCATACTCGGCGTCGTCGAGCTACTGCTGCTGGCCGGTGGCGTCTTGTGACTCTTGCTTGACTTAGCTGCACCGTCGTAAAAGGAACGCACATAATTGTCAATTTGTCGTCACTGTCCTTAATACGCTTAAGCGTCGAAAAAGGTCCGCGTCACTCCAAGATCGTCATCGATTACCGGGAGGAAAAAAAGTTTCGCGAGTGTTTACGAGAGTCTTGAGTTCACGTTAACAGGTCATTTAACTCGAAACTCGTGGAAAAAAAAAAAAAAAATAAGAGAACCTCAACTTCCGCTCACATCGGAGCTGGCAAAGGCTACTTTGCAAGAAAAAAGACTTTTTAACGTATGAAAATAAAAATAAAAAATAAAAAAAAAAGAAAGTGAAAGATGATGCGTCGCGCATTTGACGACCGTTTCGAGCGACTGTTTTTAAATCTCGAAGGGGATCGGGAGATTAAAAGCGGACTTGCAGAGATGCGGACGTTTCTCGAGGATCGCATGGCATGCGATGTTGTCAATCGTTGTTACTTACACTTACTGGACTTGTGAGACGAGAGGGACGGGGGATTAAGTAAAGAGGTGGAATAGGTCGGCAGGAGGCTCTCAACACCGGGCGGAAATCCGGCTAGTCCTGCTCCCGCCTGTAGCCTCGCGAGATAGTCGTGTGCCGCCAGATGAGAGGCCATTGTCCACCATGCTGCACTGGCCGCCGGATTGATACCTGCAAAATACGATGGATATCCCCTTCGTGCACATTCCGTAAATCCACTCCCGTCCGTGAAATTCGATCTTAAAATCCCGATCTCGGCGCGCTCCGACGTTCCTCCCCGACTCAGTCGATAAGGAGATACAAAAGAAGATTACTTTCTAGAAATGACGTCGTCGTGCGCGGATATACGACGAGAGTTTAACACGGTCATTAAGATAAGTGAATCGAAAAAAAAAAAAAATATATATATATATACATACGTCGGTGAATAGAAAGGAGAGAGCGCACAAACTAAATATCATCTAAATCGTTTTTATATATCGTCGCTGATAATGTTTTATTAAATACCGAAAGATTACTTTAGACAGATAACATGTTTTTGTGGATAAACGAATTTTTGATACGGTCGTTAATTAAGATAAAAACGGTGAATCACAAAACTATATTAACATCAGTAAACAAAAGGGCAAACATATTTCACGCATTATCAATTTGTCCTGAAAATTATTAGTTGTTTGTGTCACTGGAAATATTTACCTTTATCTTCGCTTATCGATATTTTCAATTTGAATACCTACTGTAAAAGAGCGTTTTCTCGTGCGTCATCAAAGAGAGAGAAAAAAATAAAAAAGAAAGCTCTTCGTTAAATCCGTGCTTTGCGTTTGCAACACGCTCCGCGTATGTCGACGACGCTAACGATCCCAAATTATCTCAAAAAAAAAAAAAAAAAGCAGCTTTGCTGCGAAACACGCTTTCCGAGAAAACAACGTTGTTTCCAATCACGGTCGCGATATATAATCGATGAAGGAAGCGTAGATGGCGTTAAAGCGGGTTAAATTTACGAAGAACGAGAGCGACAGTGTACAAAAAAAACGAACGGAAGAGAGGAAAAAGACGGGGGGTCGGCGCAGAAAATTTACTTACCAAGACTCGCAGCTTGACTGGCGGCCACGCTGAGTGTACCGAGGCTACTGTGAGGATACGGGGACGGAGGTGGCGCCGAGGCTGGTGTGTGGCCTCCGAAGCCGGGCGCTGAGCCCCCCCGGCCCAGAATAGCGTAATTCGCCGGTGGCAAATGGGGCCCCAAGCCGTAACCGCCCGGCATCCCGCCGAAGAGTGACGACGCTGGACTGTCACCTCGAGGCCAGTATGCTAAAATTAAAATCGAGATATTGCAAAAACAACGAATCGAACGACTTCCGCAAATTTAGAATTTTTTTAACAAATCGTTGATATGAGAATGCGCAATAGAAGTAGTAGCGATGTCATCTCGAGAGAGATCGGCATCGATGTTTTGTAGCGAAACTAATCGATAAGTCGCTGAAAGAATGACGACGCGGTAGAGAATCTACGAAAGAGACACATATCTTAACCTCTTCGCGGTACCTCGCGTCATCCGCCGCGTATGAAAAGTTTCTTGACGGCGAAGCGCCGACACTTTCGTTGGCTGTCGACTTTAGTCGACAATGCCGCGAAAATGAATTCATAAGATAATGGGCATTTTATAAACAATGTTATCATCGTTCGCAGTAAATTGCAACATCGCGTTTCGCGATTTGTGAAATCTAATTATTAATTTTATCTTCGCTTTGTGAAATTTCAATTCCACTCGGTGTATCTTAAAACTCATTGTCACAGAGAGTAAGGTCTAATTAAAGAATAATCGATCGGAAAACTACTTGAACTCTGAACTTTGTTTTTTTCGTTTTTTCGAAAAAATTCGATTTTTTTTTTTAGCAATTTTACTTCGGTCTTTGCCCGTTAATTCCTGCCCACATCGATTCCCCCCGTACTTGTGTGTATTATTACCATTGCGTCAAAACCCATTGGCGATTTGAGCAAATAATTAATTAAATTACCTCGAAGCAACGTAATATCTCATTTGTTTACGCAATAATATTGCAGTTGTATAGAATACGCGTATTAGGTAGATATATATATATATATATGATAATGTTAATTTATTATATTTTATATCTGGCAATGAAACGTATGCGCGAATTCGCAGAAAAAAAATTTATACATATACGAATTGGCCGAATACATACGTAAATCTCGCTCACTCGACGAATAACACGCATCTCTCGCGTTGCGAAATAATTTTGTTACAAATATATCGCAAATGTTTGCAAAGAGCCCGGAAATTATTAAGCACGTCGCAATAATTTCGCAAAATATTATGCCCGCCAACGTGTGCGGAACGTTTCGAATATTTGAAATAAAACAAAAGTATTTGCACAGATATATGTGTGCGACTGCATTTTTCATCTAATTATGAAATTTTTACTTACACAAGTTACCTTGCGTAAAGGTAAAAAGATAAATTAACTAATTTTTATTCTTTTTAACACATACATACACACACACACACACACACACACGCACACAAAGAGAGAGAAAGAGAGAGAGAGAGAGAGAGAGAGAGAGAGAGAGAGAGAGAGAGAAAGAGAGAGTCTCTCGTAATATTATATATAAAAAATGCCTACTAAATCCTATTAGTTCGTGTGACGCGCAAAAATAACGGCAAAGTGCCGGAGAGATTTTAACGTTATGCAAAAGTAGGTGTGAGTAATTAAGTGCTCATAAATTACATGCATATATGCATACGTGCGCGCGCGCGCGCGAGCGTGTGTGTATGTGTGTACATTGTATTTTTAGAAATCAAGTGCATGTTAAGAATTAAATACAGATTTTAATGAGACTAATCTTTTTTTATGAATGTCAAGAATCAATTATGAAGCAGCATTTAAATTTTCAAGTGTGTGTGTGCAAGAACTCTCTATAATTAATAAAAAAAAAAAACCTTTAATTTTTTTCTAATTCGAAACCTGAATTTAAAAAACCAAGATGCTAACAGTCACAAGTTGTATAATTCTGATTAAATTTTTAATTTACATTTTATTGTCATTTTGTTTGTTTCTAAAAGTTTTAAATAATTAAAAACAAGTTTATTAGATCGAAAATAGTCCTTTTGCTTTTTTTTAATCGGACCAATTAAAACCGGCGCAACAGCGCATATTTTATTTTTGAAAAAGAAAATATCTCTCAAAACAAAAGCTAAAAGAGATCGTTTCGTGTATGCGATAGCATTGTTACAGCGCAAGTTTCTTCGAAAAAATTTGAATTTAACGCGCGAATGTTTTCATATAAATTGTCGAACGACGAGCCTTCGGATGATTACTCGGATGATCTTGCGACGTTACAAATTTCACGAGTGACGACATTCGAGCATTCGCGCAATTTATTGTTGCGAATGTCGGCGCAAATGTACCGTTGATTTTCTACGAGTGCTGCGGCCTTGAGCAAGGCCGTGGCATTGAAATCCGAGCGCCGCTTTAATTTATACCGGTCGTTGAACTCCGTACTCCGGCTTATACGACTGCTTCACCCAGTGAACAGCCACCGTTGCTGCCGCCGCTACTACCGCCGCCGCCGCCGCCGCCGCCGCTACCACCACCGCCGCCGCCGCCACCGCCGCCGCCACCGCCGCCGCATAATAGTTTACGTGCATATACGCATGTGTTTACAATGCACTCCCGTGAATGCAAGTGAACGAGACACGCAGGATCAAAGTTCCATTCACCGTCTCTATTTGCTGTCGCATGGTCTACAAACCATTTTCGTGGAATTTACTGTAGGAGGTCAATATGTTTCGTGAGATAAGATAAAACTCATTCAACTTTTCCTCCGTGTTCATTTATTTTGTATTTTTCTCCCAACTCAATACACACACATCACGTCTATAAATAAAGCGCGGATTCAAAATGAAATTGGCGCGGTTCCAAAAAAAAAAATAAATAAATAAAAATAAAATAAAATAAAGATGTTGAGAGAGATATTCATTTCTTTTCACGAGAGAGGAAAGAGTATGGAGTAACACAAGCATTCTGAAAAGTACTGATCAATATAACCACCACTCTTTGAGCTTTAATTCACCGAGCTCGGTAATTTCATTGACCATCAATTTCCTGAATGCTACAATATAGCCTGTATATACTACTCGGCTTCTGACCTCGATTGTCGGTGCCGACATAATATAGATATATAGATATATAGATAGACATAATATAGATATAGATATATATATGTATATAGATATATATATATATATATATATATATATATATATATATATGTGTGTATATGTATATATATATATATACATATACATACATATACATATAGCGTTCGCACATTTTCTTTTCTTAATGACTCAACACGAGAGAGGAAAGTCATATCGTGCCTTCCTCTTTAATCTGGATACTTTAACGGCAATCCATTATTCGAACAACCTACAAGCAAGCGGCGCATTAACCGCGGTCTCCATTTTCGGGGGCCAGTGTGTATTGTTTGACGTAACGTGTGCCTAGAGCTCATAAAAGTAGCCGATAAAATATAAACCCGTTCGGAGAAGCGGAGGGCGAGACTGAAATTTGTACGCCTTCGTTATTTTTCCATACGACATAAAGCGCCGTTAACATGTATTTATGCGTGACGTTGTAAAGTGTGATGCTTAAAAAATCGACTTTTAAAGAAGCCAACACACAAACACACACCGAGAGTTTAATCTCTTCTATAATTAAATTACACATCACAAATCAATCGTTGAGAATGTGAAAATTATAAAATCACTATTGATATATAAACACTAAATACAATAAATTAATTATAATATATTAAAACAATCAAATTAAAAAAAAAAAAAAAAAAAAAAAAAAAAAAAAATTCTTTGCTCTTTTCATTTTATGTATATGTGTGCGCATCATGTGATGCGCATGAACTTGTTACACATTTATGCGGCTGTCACGCTTTATCTGTTTGAATTTATAAAAAGACTTGATATCTCTCTCTTGTCAGCATTCCAATATTAAAATACACGTAAAAAATGAATCTATTTATAAGAAGCAAACGTGGTATAATAATTTACGTAATCTCGACAGAGAGAGAGATTTTCACATTGGAATCTTGTTACACTTATATTATATTAAGTTGCCGCTTTAGCATGTTTAATTAAATATACATTCGTGCGCTTATCTTTCAGATCGTATTATGATAAACGTAAGTCGTGTCAAATCGTATTTCAATGCTATTCTTCATTTTCTAACGTAACTTCAAGCCGCGTATCATTGCGTGCAAAGATCTACTATTTCTTTAACCGCTAATTACTGTAACGCGACATATAATTTGCCGTGATCGATACAATCGACCGGCGTCTCTATGTCTCTACATAAAATTAATTAGAATATCGCGCACAACCATCTATATACATTTTTTTCATCGGTTATACCAGATGACAATATCTGTCATCGCGCGTGGATTTTTAACGTATGATGTATATAATTGTAAAATTGCAAAATTATTTATTTTTTCAAAACAAACTCTCTCTTATATATATTATCTCTTATATATTTAACTATTATTTCTTATTAGATTATAAGTGACGTATGTAAAATTTATTTTGACGTTAAATCTCTTATTTCATGTTTAATTAAAAATTTTCGAAGAATCTCATAAAAAAAAAAAACGTGCGCGCGGAGGATTCGAGAAGATGCTTCTCTTCACGGTTTAAGCACAAGAGCAATTCCCGCTCCTAAAGAGAATCAGGTGAGAACATACACACTCTGAACGTTCTGCCAGTACGCGCAGAATACAAACCATTATCTTCGCACGTAATTGCGCCGCACTCTGCTCGCGCATGACTTCTCTTTCTCCCTCGCGTCGTCGTAACATCGCCCGGTAATATCCACATGTATGTTGCACAGTTCAACTACAGTAAGCTGTGCAAGAAAGTTTTCTCGAAATGTGTCTCCAAATTACTCTTACGTCACTATAATCTCAATATCTCTCTAATTACACGCGCGTACTTAACTATATATATCGTCACAGATTTGCTCGAGTTTTCTCACACGTTTGCGAAAATCTCGTATACGCGATTTAAAGGCGGATTCACTCAGGAGCGACAAAACGGATAGGAGAGAGAAACGTGCTTCGAGACGTGATCATCGCCAACGACTGCGATGATTGTCGGTCGCGCGCTAGTTAAATCTTAATCTGCCGCCCCCCGACCAACTCGCGCGAACGAAAACGTTCGGAAACGCAGATAAGCCGAAGCGGCGGCAAGTTGACGTATCTCTCGCAAACCGCGACGATGCGTCACGTCTATCGATTTGTGATTAAGCATTCGCGAACACGAATGGAGGGGGTCGCGGAGGAGCACGAGAGAATATATAGACTATCGTCGGCGACGAGGGCAAAGGAGAGAGAGATGGAGAGAGAAAGAGAGAGAGGAAGGAGAAAGAGAGGGAATATATGTATGTGTGGTGGGGTCATCGTCGTTCGTCCGGTCGGCACACGTCATCGTTGCCGCTGTCGCGTTCGTTTGGACGCTCGCGACGCGTCGCGACGCTAATTTCCTGTTTTTCGTGCCGAGCTAATAAAGAACTCTATCTTTGTTCCCTCTGGTGTATCTTTTTCTCTATCTTTCGCGTTGTTTTCGAGCGGCAAAAAAACTCGAGTCTTTCATCGATTAATGTTGAACGTAAATTCGATCATTCGACTCTTGCGCACATTTCCAAAAAGCGCAGACGCGTGTTTATACAAATTTTCGCCAATCCAAATAAGAATATTAATTCGTTTCTACAAAACCGGAGAACTTCAGAAAGATGACTAAACAGTTGCACTAATTTGTTTTTAATTAATTGGATAATTAAGTCATCAGTCTCATTCCGCACACAAATTGTTTTTAAATGTCGTTAATGTAAATGTCAAGTAGTATGTTAAGTACGTGGAAGAACGCTTAAATGCTGTTTTATATCGTTGCACCTTCGCGCTCCGCAACGAAAATGAAAGTCCATTTATAAAACTCGAAAAAGATGCGCGTCGGGGGAAGAGGGGGCGCGCGCGGCCGCGCATTAGGAAAGTTTTCCGCGCGCACTTCGACCTGTCGACACTTCGTTCGCGAGTTTCAAGGCAAACGGATATCAAGAAAAATCGCCTTTGTTTTTCATCATCGCGTGTATACCTATATCGCCGCTCTCGGCGCGATATGAATTGAATAAACACACGCAAACGCAAATGTGTTTACGGGGGGGGGGGGGAGAAACTAACAATAAAGAATTGAATGGTAATTAGCGCGTCGAATTATTTGTTCGTTTTTAAATTTTTCGTCTCTCGCGCGCTCGTACAAGAGCAGCGCGATTATTTCGATATCGTTATTTCCCCACGTATTATCATAGTAATTGACATTTTATGCAACAGTCGTAGCGCGCGGCAGAGGCGGAGATTCGGATTTGCTGCCGCAACGACAAAAGCAACGCAGAGAGAGAGACAGAGGTGAGGGAAAATCGATTGACGATTAATCCGTCACGATATAATTTAAACACATGGTTCTGGCAGTACGTTTATCCGCAGGTATATCGAATGCCATAGTAAATTTAGCTGCTGCCAATCCGGGCCGGCGAGACTCTCTCTCTGTCCGACCGGTAGATCGTTGACATCCCGCGGCTTAAATCGGAATTGCTCGCCCCCGAAACGTCCACGTTTCCACGAGCGCGCTTCTAATAAAACCGCAGCGCGCCCCGGCTTGCGTCGTCATCTGTGCGCGGCTCTATCTTCGCGATAAGCAAAGCTGAAACTCCGACGCGTAATACATACAGAGAATATACACACACACACGTGTCTCCTCCCGCTTCTTCTCCCCATCCTCGCAAACACGTTTTAATGAGTCGGATCAGCGCCCCATCGTTTTGCCCGCTCTCGTGTTACAAATGCCCCTTTGTGTAGATTTTTCTCTAAAATAGAGACGTAACGGGATGAGAATCCTGAATATTTTCGTCAGAAAGGCTCGACGATTCCGCGTCGCGTTGTCGCTTATCACATCACAGACGGAAACGGGATGGAAAAGGAAAGTTGTGAAAAAACGAAAAACGAAAAACGAGAGACCCTATAGAGAACCTATATAGGAACACACAACAAGGAACATACAAGCACATACGGCGGAGATCTATGCATAGCGCCATGGCACAGCAGCTCTGGCAAGGAAACGCCAACCGACTGGCAACAAAACACGCTCCGTGTGCCGCGGGCTTAAGCGAGATGAAACGAGATGAGAGGAGCAGCAGCAGCAGCAGCAGCAACATCTCGGTCGCTCGGGATAGGAGCGTGTTCGTTCGGTCCGTGAGCCGGGAAAATGGCCGTGTTATTAAATCGATCGGTGCTCCGGCCAGTGGGGAGGGATCGGGAGCCGGGCCTGTGGGGGGTTTAGGACGAGGTGGAGAGAAGACGCGGGGCGACCGACGTGTGCGTATTATAGATATACACGGGGGCTCTGATGAGCGCGCGCGGCGCAAACGACGACGGTGGTGGAAGAGGAGGACTACGGGGGATTACGAGTGGCGCGCTCGCCCTTGCTCTCGCCCCGAAGAACCAGACTTGCGTGTATATACCCGGGGATACTTTTTGGCGCTTGTGACGGTCGCAACTATTACACGGCGAGAGACCAGAGCGGAAGCGAGAAATTACGAGGCGCGCCGCGACGCGGAAGAACATTTGACGTCGCCGCTTCCGTACGTTGCGGCGCTTTGTCACAGCGACGCCGAAGAAAAATTGTCGGTTATATCAAAGCCGCAATATTAACTTTTCAAAGTAAAACACACACAAATAGAAAAAAAATTATCACCCTATCAAGATAATTTGGATAATTGAGATAGTTTGGAGTTTTTTTCTCCCTCAAAGAAAAGTCCATAATACACACATCAGAGATTGCCAAAAGCTCTAACGGAATTGATTAACCGATAACCGATTTTTAAGTGCCAGATAATACAACTACAATCGCTTTTCCACGGTTAGCTGCATTTTATCGACCTTTCCAATAATCTGTTTACAACGTTAATTCTCTCTCTCTCTTTCTCTCTCTCTCACGATCGATGTCGAAAACCACGTCATGCGATTTTTCGCGGTAAAAGCGCGCGGCGTAGGAAACACGCGCATTTACTCGCTCGTAATTTCCTCGCGGACGCGCCGTCGGGATTGAAAATGGCCAAGCGCGCTACCGCCGACTATTGCGGAACAGCGCGTAATAACGTAACTTCTAGTCGCTATTTTAGGGGCGAGGAATATACGACTGGAAATTTTTTCGGTGCACCAGACCTGACGACAGGAACGTGCCAGGAAGAAAATAGCCCGGACCAACGGCGGCGTCAACGCAACAGCGCGAATCTGCGACTTGGAAAAGCGCGTCGCTACGCAACCGGCAAAACTTCCGCGAAGATCTACGTGCGGTAACGCGTAACAATTAGATACGTGTGTAAAACAAGAGCAAAAACATTCTCGACAAACTTTTATAATCATAAAGTTTTGCTTCAAATTAAAAATATGTTTGTTATTTACGCGCGTTAAAAAAAACTATATTTAATTTTTCGCACCAAACTAAAATGTAAAAATTACTTCAAGTGCTGAGAAATTTTTGTTTGCTTCTTCGATCAAAACTCGATTATCGCAAGATACGTACTGTGTCAAATTAAGCGCGAATACTTCGTAGAGCGACGAAAAAACATCGAGAGCGATTTTTATCGGTCATAAATTTGTCCCCAAAGAAGGGACAAATGTTGGAACCGTACGTAATTCACGACCCGAAGACCCCAAAGGGTTATAAGTCGCAAAACTCGCGCAAAAATATCGGTCTTATGGAATAAACTGTTGTCGGCATCTGTGCGCGAGTCCAATAAATTCACTCGAAATCTCTCACCGGTTGTCTAACGCCTTCTCCAATCCTAAACCCTTCCTCCTCTTTTCTCCATGCGTGTGTACATGCAAAATTCCTAACACACAGTTAAATTATTTGCGCGCGCGTTGTCAGAATCTGCGGTTGCGAGAAATAATTAAAAAAAAAATAAATAAATAAATAATCCAGAAGCTAGTTGATCTATAAGAACGCGCAAACAAAAACTACAAAGAATCGTATTGTCAAAATTAATAATATAAAGTTGTTTATCTAACAACAAAACGAGATACCTGCAACAATAGTTTATTGAACGTGACATTATTTAACAATTGTTTATTGAATGTGACGTGGTTTAAACTTGTTGTGTGTAGTCATCGACACAGAGACGCGGTATATAATTCATTCATTTCGAGCGCGCGATGAATTTTCAGCGCAAAATGTCGCGCTTCTGGCGACACAATATTTTTCGCGCGTTCACGGAAAACGCACGTCCGCGGAAAAACGGTTCCGCCCCGAACGAGAGAGAGATCTTAATAAAGCATTTCCGCCTCCAATTAACGGCTTTGAAACAACCGCTCGGACGCACACACGTCACACGGTGTCGAAAAATTAATTTAAAAAAAAAAAACAAAAAACAAAAAAAATGTTTTAACAAGACCCTGCGCGACCAACTCTGTGTTGTATTCGTGTGTGTGTGTGTATGTATCGCGACACCGCGGTTAACGCCGGACGAAAATTGCGATTTTGCAACTTCGGTGGCGACGGCGTATTATTTTCGAAGTCTGCATTCCCCTCCTCTCCCTCTCCTCTTCCCCTTCCCCTCTCGCACAAACTGTTCTACGTTAAATTCCGCGCGTTTGCCGCGCCGGCGTTGCGAGAGCAAGTTTGTCGCGCGTTAGGTGCACTTGTCGCTTCGCGTTTGTAACTACAGTGCGCAAACTGTAATTCGCACGTAATGTAATTCACAGCGGAGCGAAGCGCATTTTCCGTCCATCATCGGACGCCGGTAATGAGTTACAACGAGCGAG